TGGGGTGGGGGCGCGGGGGGGGGGGCGGTGCGCGGTCCTGCGCCTGCTCCGCACCCCCTTCCCGATTCTGCTGGCAGGTGTGACATCACACCTCGGAAAGCTCACAGTCCGTGGGCCGCGGCGGCGGGGGTCTTGCCCGGGAGTTCCCGGAGGAGAGTCCCTGGCGCTCCTCGGCCGAGGGGCCCCGTGTCCCTGTCAGGGTCCGCAGCCCTCGTCTTTGTGGCGGTCGGGCCAGGCCGAGGCTCAGGTGCGTCTGTACGCAGAGGCAGGTGCTTCCGGTTAGGGCTGGTCACGGTTTCCCAATAGCTCTGTCAGCTGTGTGTGGGTTGGCTGGGTACGCTGGGCAGAGGGGTTGGTCCTCAGAGCCCGCAGGGAGGGATCCAGCGGTGGGAGGCAGCCAGCATCTGCGCTGCGTGCGTGGGTGCTCGCTGAGGGTCTGTGCTTTGAGGTGGGTGACGGTGGCATGGGGTGTTGGCATTTACAGGAGGAGGGAGTCTTCCAGTTCTGGCCCGAATGAATGAATGAATGGACGGATGAATGAATAACCTTCCTGCTCTTCCCCCATGCCTGGAGTTGGGAGGGGCAGCCCTGGGGGTGGAGAAGGGGCCTTCCAGGGTTCTTGATGGCATTCTGCCATCAAGAAGTTGGGCCTTGACAGTCCTGGGGTGTCAAATTTAGTGAAAATTGGCCTACCTGGGAGAAAGGGCTGGGTCCAGGCCCAGGAATGTAGGACCCTGGGAGGTAAGTCTGGCCCAGTTGCGGCCCCCAGGGACTGGTCTGGCCTGGTCTCAGTCTCTTCAGTTAGGTCTGATTTTTGGCTTAGATGACCACGCCCTGCCCCACCCTACCTGGTGGACTGGTAAGGCGCCCAGTGCAGGTATGTGGAGGGTTTGAACTCCAAACAGCTTCTGCTGACTGTAAACACCTGTGGGGTGGGGGCTTGGGAAGGTCTGCTCTCTAGGGGGCCTCCCTCTGCCTGGGCCTATCTGCTGGTCATGCGCTGCTGAGTGATCCCTGCCCTTCCCATCATGTGTGAGTAAGGGGTCATTTGTGGTGGAAAGAGTGGTCTAGACTTCCCCTTCCCTCCCAAGCAACGCTTGCTCTTTTCACACCTTCAGGGTTCCTCCAAACAGGCTGTCCCACACCCCTGTCCCCCAGTCCTCTTCTGTTCTTTGCCCCCAGAATATATACTCCAGTGCTTCTACTTTACCTGGTTACTGTTTGGCATTCATTCATTCAACAATCTTGGGGAAAAGTAATTAAAAAAAAAATAATGGAAAATGGAAAAAAAAAAAATCCCAAATCCTATAGCCCCTGTATGCCAGGTACTGGGGGGACATCAGTGAGCCAAACAAGATTTCTGCCCACAAGAAACTTGCACTCTCGGGCCGGCCTGGTGGCGCACTGCTACAGTGCGCCGCTTGGGAGTGCGGCAGCGCTCCCGCCGAGGGTTCGGATCCCACATACAGACCGGTTCCCGCTCACTGGCTGAGCGAGGTGCGGGAGCAACACTGAGGGTTGTGATCCCGTTGCTGGTCCCGGTCCGGTACGGGCACGACACTGAGGGTTGTGATCCGGTTGCCGGTCACGAAAAAAGACAAAAAGGAAAAAAAAAAAAGAAACTTGCACTCTGGCCCGCACCACTTGCTCCTGAAGTTGAGTTTGCGCACTGAACCCATTTTCTGCACCCAGTTCCCTGCCTCCCTATCCATCAAGAACATACATGTGCAACAGAGCCTGGCCAGCAGGTGCCTGGAAATGGAAAAGAGGGTATTTCTGATCTAGGCCTTCCCAGCGTGCTCTGGGGATTGGGGCCTGCTTGCTTCTGGCAGCCTCTGCGCGGCTCCTCTTTGTGTGCCCTCAGCTCCACTCCTCTCCACATGGGGCTTGATGTGGCCCTGTGGGTGCTAGCCTCTCACTTGGCCAACTGGATCGACTTCTGACTTTATTTCTGCCTGCTAAATGTGTCTTCTCCAAGTCTTGCCCCTCCTTCCTCTCTGTTCTTAGGCCTCTAGTGTTACTGCCGGGCAGACTCCAAGCTCTGTCCCCAGCTCCTGTCCCTTGGCCTGCCTAGCACTTGCCTGATTAGTCTTGAAGTCAAATGAGGCCCACACACATCTTTCAGGCCTCCCGTTCCCTGTCTCACACTCCAGCTTCCCCTTTTTTTCTTATGACAAATGCCCTGTTGAGTCTTTCTTCATCATCTTTTCCATGAAGCTCTCATTTGCTCCTTTTCTGTATTTTTGTGACTTCCTCCCTGCTGGTGGCACCCTGTCTTTGGTGCTTGTGTTCTGGAACTGCCTTCTGACCCTGTGCTCTCTGTCCCCTTCTCAATCTGGCATCGTTGACAGGTCTGCCTTTTGCAGACCCGTCAGGCTTGGCTGCTGGAGCTGGTGTCCAGGACTCTTCTGGACACCTGCTCCTGCCCCGGTCTGGACAGGTTTTATCCGCTGTTGCTCTGGCTCCTGATGGCTATCCCTGTTTCTTCCTCTTGTTGCCTCCCTTGCCTCCCAGCCATGTGATCTCCCCGCTGCCCTCTGCAGAGAAGGGCACAGCTCACTTCCTGCCTCGCAGGGTCCTGCTACCTGGGATGCCAAGTTCCCTGTGTTCAGTCTCCCACCCAGTGCCACTTATCCTGTGCTCTGTTTAGTAACATGTCCTAAGGGTGGGAGCTGTGGAGCTGGTCTCTTACACAGACGTGGTGCTGGGCCTGCAGTGCCAGCTCCCAGAATGCACTGTGACCAGGAGAGTTTCAGGAAAGGCCTCTTGAGGATGGGCCCTGGGCCCCAAGCTGAAGGTGCAGCACATCTGGGCACAGCAGTGTCCAGGCACCTTGGGGACAGTGTGGTGGAGGCAGTGCGGCTCCTTTGCCCAGCCTCCTTCCTCCCTCTAGTCACTCCTCGTCCAGCGTCATCTTGTTTGGTGTCTCAGAATGTGCTGTCTAGAATCCTTGTCCTCTTTCCCTGTCTTCCTGTGACCACCTGCTCACTGTAGCTCCCCCCCCCCACTTGGCACCACCTTGTCCACGATGCTCCCCACTCTTCTGGAACACATTGCTGTGCTTGGAAGTCACTGTGCCCGTCTCCTCGCTGGGCTCAGCACTGAGAGGCAGAGCCCCTCTGACTTCACTTCTGCTCAGTGCTGAGCACAGAGTAGGCATCTTCTGTGGCCCAATTAGATCACCAAAATGTGCAGAGGAATGGCTGGGATTGTCCTTGTCCCTCCTACCTCTGACCTGTGCTGTCCTCTGCAGGTCAAGCCATTTATATGTCTGCTACCCCAAATGACCATGGCACGGGTGCCCTGGGCAGAGATGGGGTTGCCAGTGCAGCCTGCTGAAGCAGCCTGATGGGCCTCTATGGTGGCACTGGAGGGCAGGTGGCAGAAGTTAGAAGACGTGGTTGAGCCGCTGTGGTTCTGTTCTGTGTTGACATTGTTCTCCACTTAAGGACAGACCAGGAGAAGAGAAAGAAAAATCCCTGAGAAGGAAGACAGAGTTCCCTGGGGAGAGGGAGGACGGACAGCTCCAGAGGAGACAGGCCACCCTGGATTCTTGCCCTCTCCCACAGCCCCATTAACTGGTGCGGTGGGAGGCCCCAGGCAGGCTTCTGTGAGCCTCACAGCCAGCACACACACACACGGGCGGCCTCCAGGAGGTCTGCCAAAGCCTCACAGTTGGGCTGGGTGATGACCCCTTTGTCTTCCTCCCCGCCCCCAATCCCCTTTGGTTATTTACAGAGGATTCTCTAATCTATCCAAGGTCTGGCATGGCCGAGGGGGCCGAGAGCTTCCCCTTCTGGCAGGGCACTCAGCCCTCCTGGTGATGTGTTTAGGGCTGGGGGTAGTGGGAAGTATGGTGGGCTAATGGGAGTTGGGAGGCTGTGGCCCAGATGACAGGACTCCAGGTCAGCTGCTCCTGATCCTGAGGCCACACCCCATGGCAGTGGCTGTGCCATCTGACCTGTGGTGGCTCTTTGAGCATGTACCTGGGCAGTAGCCCCAAGGGTAGGCTGGCTGGCTGGCCGGACCTGGCCCACCATCTGTGCTGCCGAGGTAGTCAACTCATGCTTTTCCAAGTCTTTCTTGACTTGAGTGCCTGGGATTCCAAGTGGGACAAAAGGTGCCAGAATCTCAAACAAGGTTCCTGGGACGCCAGCTGCCTTTTCCCATGTGACTGGGCTGCCTGAGAGCATGGGGTCTGTGCAGAAGGCTTGGAGGGTTCTGGGGGGCCTGGGCCAGGGTTTCACGGAATGAGAGCCCCAGGTAGGCCAGACAGCTGTAAGGGCCGCTGCTGGAGGGAAGAGTTGACCTGTGTTGGGAGTCGGGGGTGGAGGCCACAGCTAGAAGAAAGGAGATGACGACTACCCCAGGCTCCTTGCACCCGGCTATGGCTGTTCCTCCTGAGGGCCACCTGCCTCTGGCCGGGTGCCGTCTTCAGCCCCCCACTGCATATAGATAACATTGGATGTCCTCACAGCTGTGCCAAGTCTCCCTGTGTGCTGCTCTGGGCTCATCTTCCCTCCCTCCCACAGCCCTGGGTGCTGCCTATGGCACAGCCAAGAGTGGCACCGGCATTGCGGCCATGTCTGTCATGCGGCCAGAGCTGATCATGAAGTCCATCATCCCAGTGGTTATGGCTGGCATCATCGCCATCTACGGCCTAGTGGTGGCAGTCCTCATTGCCAACTCCCTGAATGAGGGCATCACCCTCTACAGGTGAGTGCTGGGTCTGCACCATACTGCACCCTGGGTCAGGCTGCCACGTGGGCCTGGAGGACTGGGCAGGAGGGTGTTGGACAGGTGGACCCACTGGTTTAACCCAAGATGCTGTCTTCCCCTGGCTGGTACGGAGGCTCCTCATGTCAATGCTATCTCTCTTCTTTTCTCCAGGAGTTTTCTCCAGCTGGGCGCTGGCCTGAGTGTGGGCCTGAGTGGCCTGGCAGCTGGCTTTGCCATCGGCATTGTGGGGGACGCCGGCGTGCGTGGCACTGCCCAGCAGCCCCGATTATTTGTGGGCATGATCCTGATCCTCATCTTCGCCGAGGTGCTCGGCCTCTACGGTCTCATTGTCGCCCTCATCCTCTCCACAAAGTAGCCCCTCTCCGAGCCCACCAGCCACAGAATATGATGTAAAGACCACCCCCTTCTCATTCCAGAATGAACAGCCTGACAAACACGCACGGGGCAGCTGCCCCCTCAGTAGTTGGTCTTGTAAATGCGCAGTGTCCTAGTGCCCATCGTCTGTTGCCCCTGCCTTGCCCCCGCCTGCCCCGTGTCGTGGACATCTGGGCCTGCTCGCCACCCGTCCAGGCCCCTGACCAGTGAGGACCGGCCTTTGGCCGCCCCCACCCATCTGCCCTAGAGTGCTCTGTGCACACGGATGAGTTAGTTGTCATTTTTCTCTTCACTGATGTTTATTTATAAAAGATTGATCTGTTCATGCGTCCGTGGAACAGCCCTGTCTCCTGCCCATATAGTAATCTTAGGTAGAGTGTCGCCTTGTGGGGCCCCGTTTGCCGAGATTCCCTGGACGAGCCACCTCCCTGCGGCCCGCTGCGGCCTGGAGGGCGCCGTGCCGGGCCTGCCCGGGCGGCGCTCAGCTGTGTCCAATAAAGTTCTCCGATGTGACTGGAGGCCCCTGTCTCGACGCTTGTGTGGGGCGGGCCGGGGCGCCGGAGCCGGGCCGCCGCGTCATCGGGCGCTGCTGCTCACGTGGGCACGGTGGTCACGTGGCGCGTCGCCTAGTCAGCTGAGGGTCACGTGGGCGTGGCGGGCCCGGGCCGCGTTTGGGCCAAACTTATTCTCCCTCCTCTAAGTGGCCAAGTCCTCCAGGACAGTCTGGGCCCTTCTGTGACACTACATTTTTATTAGTGAGAGGCAAGCACTGCAGTTTCATTACCAAAAATGGTAACTGGTTTAGATCTAGGTATAAGAGGCCATTCAAACAAATGAGAATCAAGAGGAAGCAAGCTAGAAGTTTCTGGAAAACTTTTCCTCAGTCTTAGAAAGGGACACTGGATGGGGATAGTCCTTGCATTCCTGTCTCAGCATGTTGATGTTGAGGCTATCTGACCACTCTCACCGCCTCCATCACCATAACCCAGCCACGTCTCACCTGGGCTGCTTCAATAGCCTACTAAGCATACTCCATAATTCCACTCTCACCCACTGACAGTCAATCCTCCATAAAGGAGGCCGAGTGCATCTTCTACATAGAGAAATCATGTTACCCACCTGCTCAAAACTCTCTAGACCCTTCCCTCCTTATAAGAAAACTCAAGATTCTAATCATGGAGCTGGGCATGTGCGGGGCAGCGTACGGAGGGCGGGGCTAGGGGTCGGTGGGGTGCGGGGACGCGTTCACGGACAGTGCACAGTGCGGGGCCGGGGGCTTCTGGGGTGCGGGTCCGCGTACACGGGCCGTGCGGAGCTGGGGCCAGAGGTCCCAGTGCCCGCCGCTCTCTCACAGGGAGGATCTGTGGGTGCGTGGGGGCCGCATCCTGGACCCGGAGAAGCTGTTCTTTGAGGAGCGGCGTGTGGCCGACGAGCAGCGGGACTGCGGGGGCCGCATCCTGGCGCCGGGCTTCATCGACGTGCAGATCAACGGTGCAGCCCCGGGCCGGGCAGGGGGACCCAGCCGAGGAGCTCTGAGCACCGTGAGACCACCTCTTTTCTGCGACTGCAGGTGGATTTGGCATTGACTTCTCTCAGGCCACGGAGGACGTGGGTGCGGGGGTCGCCCTGGTGGCCCGGAGGATCTTGTCACACGGTGTCACCTCCTTCTGCCCCACTCTGGTCACTTCTCCACCGGAGGTTTATCACAAGGTGAGGTTGGGGTCCCGCCTCGAGAGGAGAGGACCCCAGGAGCAAGCCATCCCTTTAATTTTCAAATCTCATGCTCTCCTGTAACCGTGGCTTTCACCTGAAATTTATTCCCAGTGGGTTGGGTGACAGTCCCACTTGCCAGCACACGCTTCCTAGCACCTAGATCTGGTCTCTCCTGCTGGCCTCCCTCGCCTGGGCTTGGGATCCCTCCCCGGGCTTTCTCTACATGAGTTGTCTCTCTACCATGGCAGGTCTTCTGGCTGCCTCTGCAGCTGTCCGCGCATATGCTCTCTCAGCGCCTTCACCTGCCACAGGCCCTCCCCACCCAGACTCTGGCCGCCTCCAGGCTCCAGAAACTGCCTCTTTCACCAAGGTCACAGGGACTTTCTGGTTGCCACAGCCATAGTCACTGATCAGGCTCTTCCTCCCTGACCCGTCTGTGGTATGTGACCACGCCTTCCAGAAAGAGACACTGCCCTGCGGTCCTGGGCGGCCCTTGCCTGTTTCCCCCACCCTTCCACTTTCCTTTCTACCCGGAAGGAATTCAGTTGTCACTGGTCTGATTGTTCCTTAGAATCTTTACTTTTTATGCAGGTTCTCCAGTTTTAACTCTTTGCCACGTTGTATTATTCAGGCTTCTCTTGGCTGTGGGTGTGTTATTGTTTTTTCCTGAACTGTTTGAAAGTAGGTTGTATATGTCATGCTTCTTTGTCTTTAATATTTAGTTATTCCTTATACATGTGGAATCGGGTTAGCTCAGTGGGTTAGAGTGTGGTGCTGACAACACCCAGGTCCAGGGTGTGATCCAGCAGCCAAAACAAACCCAAAAAAGTGGATGTTGCTTTACACAACCACAATACAGTTAGTGAGTTTTAGTAAATTCTCATCGTTAAGAATACTGTAATTGACCCTCTGTGTCAGCTTTGTTGATTGTATCAGCCTTTTTTTCCCTCCTGTGCAGGATCCGTTGGAGGGTCACAGATTAGATTGTGACGCCCACCCACAGGGGCCCTTTCTGGGTGTGTGGACACAGAGCAGGGAGCTATGGGGTCGACTGTGGGCTCTGGGTTTGGGCTTTGTGGGTTTGGTCCTGGCCTCCCAACTTCATCAATCAGCTGGAAGACTGGGGACAACCTTACTGCTTTCTGAGCCTCAGTGTTCTCCAACCTAAAGTAAGAATAATGACAATACTCATCTCTGAGACCTTGGGTGCTCAGCACTATGCGTAGTACCTATTAAGCACTAAGTAAGTATCAGCTATGCATATCTTTCTGGAAATTTCCCAGTTCTCCCACCACAGAATCAAATGTCAAAAAGCTAATTCATCTTCCTGCTGCAACCTGCCTTCTCAGCTGCTCTCCCAGGCCCTGGGTTCTGCCAGAGTGATCTTCCCAAGATCCAGTACTCATTATGTCAGCCCCTGCTGGGTAGCATTCCCTTTCTACCTGTCGAGCCCCTTCTTTCTCCCCAGGCACATTCCAGCTTTTCCAGGTGTCCCCTCTCCTGCCCCAAGCTCCCTGCCTGGAAGGCCTTCACCTTGCTCTGTCTAAAAGCCAGGTGGCCCCCATGTCTCCCATGCCCAGCCTTGCCCACCTGCCACCGCTGTCCGCTGCTGTGCAGTCACGCACTGCCTGTGCTTCAGTGGCACAGCTGACCGACTTGGTACACAGTGCCCTCTCTTCCTTAGGAGCCTGGCGAGCAGGACTGAAGTTTTCTTCCCAGCACCCTTTGCAGTCCAGCTACCTCATAGACTTTGGTAAACACTTCTAGGATGAAGGCCTTGGGAGGCAGATGGTAAACTGTTGATGGAGGTCATGGAGGGCTTCAGATATGTAACACTTAATACCAGTATCATCTTAAAAACCAGAGGACTCTTCCCCCAGCCTCCACCCCACCTTCTCCAGGGCCCATTCACACTGGGTCAAATTGATTGCCTCTTTGCCAGAAGTTACCCAGGTCTTTTATCATCAGGGTCTGGTCCTTTGAGACCACCTGCTCTTTTTCTGGGGTCTCCTGTAACCCCAGCTTTTGCTACCATACCTGGCGGCAAATCAGATCTCTTTGTTATCTGCTGAGCCTAAGTCAGGCGCCTCCTCAAGGGTGCAGCTAGGCCATTGCCTCTGGCTCCACACGCCCTCTGCACTTTGACCTTTGTTGCTACTTACCTGCCTGGAATGTGCCTCCTTCCTTTCACCTCTTATCTGTCCTTTATTTTGTTCTCTTTACTTAGTTCTTTCTTGCTTTCCTATATAAAACTCCATTCTAGAAAAACTTGGCCATGATCTTTTTTTTTTTTAAATTCTTAGTGAACTTGTCCATCCACATGGCTTGTTAGAAACAGCAGCCCTTTGCCCCAACCAGTTCCCACCTTAGGGACAACAACTTTCAACTCAGTTGACTCTTGGAATTTGCCCCCATATCTCAAAAAACATGCTAGTATTCATACTTGGTATTTCAGTTTAGGTCAGTATCTGTTGCTTCTCATCAGGAAAAATGAGGATTAGCTCTCTTTCAGCCCTTGAGTCCTCTCATCTCCCTTTCCTGTCCCTCACCCTCCCCAAGCAACTGCGACCATAATGTTGAAGAGAGCAGCCACACGGTCAGTCGTCAGGACTGTGTGAAGGGGACTCGCAGCTCAGCGATGTCTTCTTACCTGCCGACTCTGCTTTCCTTGGAGTTTATTGATAATCTTCGTTTGCTTAGTACTTTAACTACGAACTCAGCTCTAGGCTTCCTGCCAGTTGTCTCTCACTCAGGGCATTTAGCTGCACTATGGGGTCCATCAATACTGTCTTTCTGTGCAAGGCTTGGAGACTTGCTCTCCTGGGAACTCCGTTCCCCTCATCTGGGGGTCCCCTGGCCTCTTTCTGCTGGTTTTCGTATGTCTGAGATCCTGTGTCTTCCTCTTTGCTGGTTCATGCCCTCATTTTGGTGGAGCACATCCTTTGGTAGCTTCTGGAGAAAGGGGTCATGGGAGGTTTGAGATCTCAAAGGTCTGAAAATGTCTTTATTTGCTTGATTGGTGGCTTGGCTGGGTTAGAATTCTAGGTTATGGGGCTGGCCTGTGGCTCACTTGGGAGAGTGCAGTGCTGATAACACCAAGGCCACAGGTTCAGATCCCATGTAGGGATGGCCGGTTTACTCACTGGGTGAGTGTGGTGCTGACAACACCAAGTCAAGGGTTGAGATCCCCTTACCGGTCATCTTTAAAAAAAAAATAAATAAAAAGAATTCTAGGTTATGGGGCTGGCCTGTGGCTCACTTGGGAGAGTGCAGTGCTGATAACACCAAGGCCACAGGTTCAGATCCCATGTAGGGATGGCCGGTTTACTCACTGGGTGAGTGTGGTGCTGACAACACCAAGTCAAGGGTTGAGATCCCCTTACCGGTCATCTTTAAAAAAAAAATAAATAAAAAGAATTCTAGGTTATTTTTTACTTTTTTGAGAAATCTGGGCTCCTGAGGGTATGTCTATAGACCCCTGGGAGTTTTGGGGATGCTGCCTAAAGAAGCAGTCAGGCACTCCATTTGTTCCCCCTAGAACTTGCAGAGTTCCATAAAGTGCCGGACTGACCCACTAATCTTTTTTTTTTTTTTTAAAAGATGACTGGTAAGAGGATCTTAACCCTTGTCTTGGTGTTGTTGGCACCACACTCAGCCAGTGAGAGAACCGGCCATCCCTATATAGGATCTGAACCCGTGGCCTTGGTGTTATCAGCTCCACACTCTACCCACTGAGAAAATCGGCCAGCTTAGAATCCTAGATCAGAAGTTATCTTCCTCGGGGCCGGCCCGGTGGCGCACTGGA